GTTAATTTTGCCTCTTTCCTCTTGATTTCTTTGTGTGTTGTTCTCTTATCTCCCTCACAGGATGGCTTCCATAACTTCCCTTCCTATGTGCCTCTCTGTTTTTAGGTTGCTCTAATTTCCTTTTCTGTTTCTGTGAGGGAGGACTTTGTTTTTTGGCTTACACTTCTAGTCCATAGTCCATCACTGAAGAAACTCAGAAGAGGAACTAAAGCAAATAAGAAAGCTGCTTATTGGCTTGCTGCCTCTGAATTGTACTCATTAAGTTTCCTTATACAAATCAGAACCTGCCCAGGGTTGGCACTGCCCATAGTGACCTGGGCCCTGCTACATCAATTAGCAAGCAAGACAATAGACATGACAACAGACCCATCTAACAGAGGCAATCCCCCAAATTCCCACACACCTACAGAAAACTCTGAGCTGTGTCAAGTTGACAGTTGAAGCTAATTAAGAAGCAGGCATTCTTCAATTATTATTTCTCTTTAATTTGCTTTTATATGTGAGTTCAAGTTTTCCATCTACTTCCAAATATCAATCTAACGGGGAGTTGTGTGAAGGATGTTTTCTCTGGGTCCATTCTTGTCTAATTGAATAGACACAGCTAGCACTGTGCATGCCCACTCACACTTCATCATCAACACCACAGACTTAAGAGACTAAACCAGTGTGCTTGTGTGTGTGTGTGTGTCTGTGTGTTGGGAAGTGAAATGAGAAAGAAGCAAAACAAACTAAGAGTTAAGAAAGGAAGACTAGTGTTGTATGAAAGGAGAGAAGGTTAACACTCTTCTTGATAAGGATGGAAGAGGAGCTTGGGCCTAACAACATACATACAGTTAAGGCATTGCCACCTACTTCATTGCATCATTTTAAAAACCACTATTTTTAAAATGACTGCCTACAGATAGGGAAAGGATCTTCACAAACCCTATATCTCACAGAGGGCTAATATCCAGAATATATAAAGAACTCAAGAAGTTAAAAAGCAACAAACCAAGAAATCCAATTAAAAACTGGGGTACAGAGCTAAACAGAGAATTCTCAATAGAGGAATATCGAATGGCAGAGAAACACTTAAAGAAATGCTCAACATTCTTAGCCATCAGAGAAATGCAAAGCAAAACAACACTGAGATTTCACCTTACACCCATCAGAATGGCTAAGATTCAAAACTCAAGTGACAACACATGCTGGAGAGGATGTGGAGAAAGGGGAATCCTCCTTCACTGCTGGTGGGAATGTAAACTTGTACAACCACTTTGGAAATCAATCTGCCTATTTCTCAGACAACTAGGAATAGCGCTTCCTGAAGATCCAGCTATACCAATCCTAGGCATATATCCAAAAGATGCCCAAGTATACAACAAGGACATTTGCTCAACCATATTTGAAGCAGCTTTATTTGTAATAACCAGAAGCTGGAAACAACCCAGATGTCCCTCAACTATGGAGTGGATACAAAAATTGTGGTACATTTACATAATGGAATACTACTCAGCAATTAAAAACAAGGAAATCATGAAATTTGCAAGCAAATGGTGGGATCTAGAAAAGATCATCCTAAGTGAGGTATCCCAGAAACAGAAAGACACACAGGGTATATATTCACTCATAAGTGGATATTAGACATATAATATAGGATAAATATACTAATCTGTACACCTAAAGAAGCTAGGCAACAGATGCCCCTCAACTGAAGAATGGATACAGAAATTGTCGTACATCTACACAATGGAATATTACTCAGCAATGAAAAATAAAGAAATCAGGAAATTTGCAGGTAAATGGTGGGACCTGGAAAGGATCATCCTGAGTGAGCTGTCCCGGAAGCAGAAAGACACACACGGTATATACTCACTCATATAGATATGTAATATAGGATAAACCTACTAAAATCTGTATATCTAAAGAAACTAAACAAGAGAGAGGACCCTGACTAAAATGCTCAATCCCCATCCCAAAAGGCAAAGAGGAAGGACATTAGAAGAAGAAGAAAACAGGAAACAAGCTAGAAACCCACCATGGAGGGCCTCTGAAAGGCCCTGCCCTGCAGACTATCAAAGCAGATGCTGAGACTTATGGACAAATGTTGGGCAGAGTGCATAGAATCTAATGTAAGAAGTGAGAAATAGTAAGATCTGGAGCGGACAGGAACTCCACAAGGAGAGCAACAGAACCAGAAATTTGAACACAGGGGTCTTCCCAGAAACTCATACTCCAACCAAGAACCAGGCATGGAGATAACCTAGAACCCGTGCACAGATGTAGCCCATGGAAGTTTAGTGTCCAAGTGGGTTACATAGTAATGAAAAGAGGGATTTCACCTTACAACCATTTCACCTTACAACTGAAATAATCTGATTGGCCTTCTCTTTGATCACCTCCCCCTGAGGGGGAGGCAGTCTTACCAGGCCACAGAAGATGACAATGCAGCCACTCCTGATGAGATCTGATAGACTAAGATCAGAAGGAAGAGGAGGACCATCCCTATCAGTGGACTTGGAGAGGGGCATGTGTGAAGAAGGGGGCAGGAGGGTGGTATCTGGAGGGGAGGAGGAAGGGGCTTATGGGGGGATACAAAGTGAATAAAGTGTAATTAATAAATGAGCTAGGCAACTAAAATAAAGTGTAATTAAAAATGAGCTAGGCAACTAGGAGGACCCTGGGTAAGATGCTCAATCCTCATTCAGAAAGGCAAAGATGGACATCAGCAGAGGGAGAAAACAGGGAAAAGGACAGGAGCCTACCACAGAGGGCCTCTGAAAGGCTCTATCTTGCAGAGTATCAATGCAGATGCTGAGACCTATAGCCAAACTTTGGGCAGAATGCAGGGAATCTTATGAAAGAAGTGGGAAATAGTAAGACCTGGAGAGGACAGGAGCTCCACAAGAAGAGCAACAGAACCAAAAAATCTGGGCACAGGGTCTTTTCTGAGACTGATACCCCAACCAAACATCATTCGTTACATAGAGAAAGTGATCAAAAGCTGTGAATTTATCTCTGTTGAGTTGGCCTCCTCTCAAAGCTGTGAGGTTCTTCGGCTCCGGGGACTCATGGTACTCTTAGGTCTCTGTCCCACCTCAGAGCTGGGATACCTTCCCAGTTCTCGTATCTGTGACTCAGAATCCTGGCCCCAGAGCTGTGGGTTTCTGTACACGCTTCCATCGAGTACCAGAAGGCAGCAGGCCAACCACAACAAAAACAATAACACTTAGTATTTATAACTCACTAGGGAGTGGGGGAAGCTCTGTGTGAGGGAAATTCTGACTGAATGTGTACTGTTGATGTGGGCACAACTGTGACAAGAATGAAGGCTTTGGACCCATGAAAAATTGGCAAAGCCTCTCCACATATGGCTCAAGCTTGAAATTAGTCATTTTTTCCCCTTTGATAAAAGTATGAATATTTATGGAGGACTGATTAGCATGTATAAAAGATAGTGATAGCTGCTTCTTCCTTCTGGTTGGTTATAGTCAAAGACAGCTCACCCACATAGAGACCTCCTAGAGAGATCAGCTAACCCCTTCCCCTGTGAGGTACATAAGAATCATGCTAAGGCTCTGGGTTGCAACCACAGAAGGTGCATCCATCCCAGCATGCAGACCCCACCTGAGCCCAGCTTTCTGTATGTGTGTTTGTAGGTCTGTCCTTTCTTCATTCCTTTGCCTCCCCTAGTCAGGGTTCAAGACCTAAGTTAAATGGGTCAATAATGTCACAATGTCTTCAGTAATTGGGCCTTACAGTTAGGCTTAGGAGGATAAATACGAGCAATGAAAACAGACAATAGTAATGTTTGGTCTATGACACTACTGACAAGAATTCCAAAGAAGTAATTTATACCTGACACTCTCTTTAGGTTTTCTTTTGATAGCCTGTGGTATCTGGGGGAGGCATTGTCCCTTTGATATAGGGTTACTCCCTCTATATCTCCTTTATATATTCATATGTGTCTATCTTAGGAAGCATCTACATTAGATTTCAACACAGTGTTTTCAACCATCTTTAGCTTACTTTCCTTGAGACCTTAAACTTTCAACCTTTTGACTTCTGTCTTTAACCCCTACCTCCCTCCCTTCCTCCCTACATTTCTTTCTTCTTAATTCACCTAAACTAAAGGATGAACAGAACACTTAGTCCAGTGGCTCAAGACATTGAAAACCAGCAGTATTCCTACTTGACAGAGCGTGAAATTGTAGCACCTGACTATATGGCTTCTCAGTGAAGAAAAATGGCTAAAACTAGAACCCAGATTATCTCTAAATTTTGAAATCAATAACTGATGTTTGATTGAGTCTCAACCCTCTAGTGACCAGTGCCAAGGAATTATAGTTGTATTTTAGATTTAACAGAACCAGGGCACTCTAGGTAATTGCCATTCCAGAGTCTAGCTGGGCTCTCTGAAGCTTTATTCCAAGATAACTAAGGGTACAAAACTGGAACAGAGAAGAAATGACAAACACACAAAGTAGTCCTCATCATTTTCCACAGAGGTGTTGGGGGGCGGGTCTCAGGGTTGGATGGGGGCTGTTTGCAGGGTATCCTTCAATGTGCTATACTGTGTAGGAAATGTCTTGCCCCTGGCCTTCCTTGTGTGGGTGAGGTATTCCTTCTAGGGCAAAAAAGAAAGGTCTAAGGGAGGAGAGTTCACACAGCAGGATAATGTAAAAACAAAAACAAAAACAAAGTCTATATAAAGATTCCCTGTAAACAGATTGCTTCTCAGATGCCACAAAGACTATGAAGCCAAGGTAAAGGTGAAAAACTTGAAATATGAAGAAAAGAGATAGCCCATTGTAGTGTTTTCCTCATGGATTCAATATACCTTTGTGCAGGTGAAAGATTACAAATTACATAACTACACACCCGTTAATTTATCTGTATTCTGATAGCATAATATCTGGCTTATTTGATTCCCAGGGGGTCAGATTTCAGTAAAAGCTGATCTCCTAGAAGCTATTTAGGCAAGATCTGGGACCAAGGACACAAGCCGTTGACTTAGCACCATGGCACTGGGAGTGGCCCTCAGCATTTTTTTGGCACTCTTGTTGTCTTGCCTGCTCATCTTGACCTCCTGGAAGCTAACTAGTAAGGGAGGAAAGCTGCCCCCTGGACCCGCACCAATACCGTTTTTGGGGAACCTGTTACAAGTCCACATTGATGGCCCACTTCAGTCCTTCCTGAAGGTTAGTGTGTCCGTTTCTTCTCATAGTGATGAGGACAACAATACGTCATAGCTGAGTACACACAGAAACTCAGAATTTCTGAACACAGACTCAGAAACAAACTTTAGGAAACACAGGATTCTGAAATCACAGTCTTAAAATCAAGGGGGAAATCTTATAAACAGATTCTAAGTGCACTAGACAGAGTCCCTTCTTCTTGGGGCTCTGGCTCACTGTCTAAGGATTTGGGGAATCTCATTTCTTTAAGCACAATGTTCATACTCAAATTGTCTTAGATTTTTAAGATGCTAGAAACCTAAAGTTTCAAAAAGAGAGGCTCTGGATCTCAGGGTTTAGCTATTCCATTATTTCACACATAGAACCAATACATACAAAATTAGGCACATTTTCTGCCCAAGGTATCAGGAATCATTCTCATGTTTTCTCTCCAATAGCCCTTCCTCTCCAATAGACCTTCCTCTATTTTACCTTTGCATCCTCCTAGAATCTCTGCCCTCTTCATTCCTTGACAGATCTCTGTTGTGCTCCAATTTACTCTTTCATTCAGTATCTTCCTTCACT